AAGGGGTCACACGTTTGGCGCGACGGCGCTACGCTGACCGCGCGTGACGGACAGACGAATGCATAAACACATTTCAGGCACGACAGAGCACAAGTTACATTGACGGCCTCGCAGCCCGATCCAATCGGAGCGCGTGTTGCGTGCACAGTCAACCGAGTTTCAATGAGCTTTTTTAAACAAAGTGGCGAGTTGCAGAGCCACGCGTGAATTTGGTTGTGTTGAGCAGCCCTTTGTTAGACAGGCAAACCCAGCAACATGGTCTTTAGACGGAGTAAAAAAAGTAAAAGTGGAGCCGTGCGATTTCTTGCACATTGCCACTACTAGCGGAAAGGCCTCGATCAGAGCTAGCTCAAGCTTTCCCTTTTGTAGTGGATTCGGTCGACGCGTATAAGCAGATATTGCATCGGTGGGAGTGTCCACATTTTATCCAACCACAAATGACCTGTCCATTTATGTGACTGAGCAGACGGAAACAGAGGGATTCAAAAGACTCGCACATTGTTTCAGCTGCCGCGCCGGGAGTGTAGAAGGACCTGGCGGCTTCTGGGTTACAAGCCCAGTGGTGTGCCAACCGTCCCTCCATGGCAGGGGCGCCGCGGTGGCAAGATGTTAACTACCTCGCCTGGTATGCAGGAGGATTAACATCCGCTGGTCAGGCATGCGTTGGTGCCTTCAACGTGGAAATTAGTTTCTCTAAAACTGCACATCGTTTCGAAGCTGCACATGAGCACAATGAGCGTACTCTGATTATGCACGCATTATCTGAATATTAAACGGAGCCAATAGGCTTACGTATTCCTATAACAGGTAAAGGTGTAGCCCTGCAATTGCTTTCTCGCGCCACTGCTGGTGGAAGGGCCTCCACTGGGACACGCTCCAGACGCCCCATGTAGTTGGTAATCGGTCTATCCGTCCACGCTTGTCAGACGTCTCGGAGAGCTCAGAGTGCTTACACTTTATCCCACTGCAAGTGGCCTGTTGATCGATCAACTCTAGTGTACCTAATTATATGGGTACACACGTAATTAAATGTTAACAACCTCGTATGGTTTACAGGAGGTCGTGGGTTCGATCCCGACCCAGATGTCTGTATTTGGAATTTGCGTGTCTCTCTCTCTCCCCGTGGTTGCGTGGATTTTTCTCCAGGTGTTCCGGTTTTTCCCTCGACATTTAAATTAAAAAAAAAATTTGCCTGCTATAAATTTCCACATGATAGGCCACTTCATTGGGCTGTCATTCGTGGGCAGGTAGATTCTGAAAAACAGCCATATAGCTCAGTGGGACTAACCTGGTAAAATAAAAAAAATAGTTTTAGTTTAGTTTTATCGGAGTATTGCAGGAAATCTATGCCTTTTGACTGCAGATTTTGGATGTGAGTGCAAAAAGGCAAGTATTTACGCCATAAATTAAGCACAGAGTATATGCAATATATTTTCTAAGATAAGACATGAGGAGCGATCCATAACCTTAAATAGAATCGGTGACTGACCCTGATGAAACCATTTCTCTACATTGTCTCCATGACGTGCAGTGCATTTAATCTTTCAATGCTTCCTTTGCATTTTGGTAATTTGTGTTTTATAAAGTTAAATTTTAACTGAACATTCGCCCTTTGACATATTGCCACTCATCCCGTGATATGTCAACATCACCCAATTTGTCCCAAAATGTTGTGGGAATGAGTCTTAACCAGGTGCTTTGGTCTTGGGGATATTTGGTTGAAATTAATATCTAGTAAAGGGCTCTGCCATTTTCATGATCATGGGGACATTAGTTTTGTTTTTGTATCGAGAGTTGTGGCACAATAGTTAGATCTGAGCTGAGGAAATAGTGGAAGATGGGCAGTGCTGTGGAGAGGCACTTCAACTCACAATAAGGAGGGTACATGTTCAACATATTTCAGTTAATTTTTATTGGTTGTTCGAGTGACTGTTGTCAGCGAATCTGACATGGTTAATACCGTCTCAATTTATGTTTATACCTTTAATCCTGCAATCAAAATGTTAGAAAATGTCTCATAAATGTGTTCTGATGTTGCTGTGAATATCCTAAGGGAGACACCACTTTTGTGCTCCCATTCATACATGGCTGAAGCATTGTCAAGAGAGGCACATTTTAATGCAAGATATATAATCATTAAGCTTGAATTGAAACTCGCGTTTCTTTGCAGGCTTATACGTAGATGTGTCTGAATGTGTATGAGGTGGGGTAGCGGTAGTGTAGTTCGATTCCCGCTCACGGCCAATGCTAGCGACGATTATCTGAGCCGGTCCTGGGCCTCCCCTAGATCGACTCGGCCTCAAATGAGTACCTGGTGCAGTGTGTAAACATCGCCGAATCTGGAGACTAAGGCGGCCGGGTGTGGTGCTGTCCACCCAACGCCTCGTGTGCCATGCCGGCCTTCAGAGGTGCTCGCTAACAGCACTTGCCCCAACAGCCTATTCAGGCTATACGGGGATCTTTGTCTTTGGCGGCGACAAAGGGATAGTGTGTGCGTTTGTATGGGGTGAACATTAAGTGTGCAGTTCAAGCAAATTCATCCAAAGCTGAGTTCAATAACCAACCAAGGATATAACACCCATGGCAAATGGTTTCTGACATTGTCTCGGGCCCCCTCTATGGTAACACTTAAATGAGTATGTTAACCTCGTCTTATGTCAGACATTCAATAAATGAGTATGTTAACCTCGTCTTGCGTCAGACATATACAATAATTGCATGGCATCTGGAATGGACCATGTCTCATCATTCTTAAATACTACACTGAGATGCATTGTTCGAATCCAGTGACTACCCTGCTTAATAATGTTGGTGTAACATACGACTGCATATTATTTAATTCAAGCTTTGCTGGCTGGCTGGCTGGTTGGCTGGTTGCACGTTATCGATTGCTTTTATATTTCTACCCTTTCCCCTGTCATGGTCACATCTAAAGGACGCTCACGTCCAGAGGAAGACAAGGACGGACGTTTCCGTCCAAAGAATGTGCGGTTTGCTAGTTAACCATTACACAGTACACATTGAAGATCCGGTGACATAATACTCAAGAGTAGGCCATTTATTGTGTGCCAGCAGCATTGTCAACATTTGCCATGCTAGTTTTTAAACAAAATACCCCGAAATTACTCAATTGTTAACGACACAGCCATCATTGCCCCTACTGTGGGGCGAGATGTTAACTTCCTCGCCGAGTATGCAGGAGGTCGTATTATGGAGGAGGTCGTAGTTTCGACCCCGGCGCCTGTATATTTGAAGTTTGCATGTCTCTCTCCCCTTGGTCGCGTGGATTTTTTCCCCAGGTCCTCCGGTTTTTCCCTCCACATTTATAATCAGCATTCATTCAGAGTATTTGTCTGCTGTAAATGTCCACATGATGATAAGCTATCATTTGTGGCCAGGTTGCTTCTGAAAAAGAGCTTCATAGCTCAGTGGGCCTTACCTGGTAAAATAAAAAAAATAGCTTTTTTAGTTTTACTATGAAAACCTCCTGAAATAGTCATGAGACTCGGATGCATTCCTGGCTGAACAAGCGTAATTATTGGTAATAACAAAAAGAATAGTATCCGTTGTGGTGTTAAACATCAGCGCTGGGAAGATAAAGTGCTTTCTGGGTATGAGCTTGCCGCACCACACCTTTGCATGGATATCTGCACTGAATCGGTGCTCAACAGCAGCAGCAGCAGCTTCCCCAACAGCCCATTAGGCTGCACAGGGGACGTTATTTTTTCTTTGTTTCGATAGTTGTGGCGCAATAGTTAGATCTGCGCTGAGGAAATAGTGGAAGACGGGCAGTCCTGTGTGGAGACACCTCCACTCACAATAGGAAGGTTACAAGTTCAAATGCGAGCTGTCCGTTTGAGGTCAATGTTTGTTGAATTTCTTTTCGCGCCGCACGTAGCCAGCCGTGCTAATCGGAGGTGCCGAAAGAGACTGAACAATATTTTGTGGGCAGTTACGAATGGTTGTCGTACGGAAAGAATGCCTTCTGCCGTGTGAATGTGGAGTTTCCATCATCGGGCCAAGCACACCAACAGATATGGATGCAGTCAAATGCTTGTTTGAGGATGAGCACACTTACTTTGACATGCAGTAAAATGATGATTTACTGAACCCAAGACACAAGCATTTGTCCCTGTTTTGATCTAATTGCCGCTCGATTTGCTGTGCAGTTCCAGATGGATAATTTTTACATGGCCACCAGCTGCCTTCGTGTGCATTCTTCTTTTAAATGTGACTGGCAAGGATTTAATGAGGCAGAGCTGAACATCACTCACTGGGTCGCTTCCCTAACATGTTTTAGATTTAAATAAACTCTTACTTCACTGTGCGAGAGTTCTTCAGTGAGTAAAGGGAAAACTTTTTTTTTTACTTCGGAGAATGGTTAATTTAATGAACAAGACAGACTCTTGCTTGGCCGAGCAGCCCATGCTATGCTGGCCCCCGTTGGGTGAGCCATCATTGACACAAACTAATACAAAATTCGACTTGCTGTAGCGCCGAAAATGCTGGCCACCTTGCAGCTCAGCAGTTTAGGGTCTCGTGCACGATGAAATCTACGGGCTCGGGCAGCCTTGCATCAAGTGCTCAACTACAGGATGCACCTTCATCATCATTAGACCTCCTTTGTCAGTACCAAAATGTAATAATAGGGTATTTCCCCTTATTTCTGGCAACAAAACTGAAACCTTTTTACAAGGATTCATGTCTGCATAAACCACAATACCTGCAGTCAAAATGCAAACAAAAAACATGATAATATATGCATTGTCCTTGAAACTGATTGGTCCACACCAAGGGACGGCTTTCTTTTGAGCCTCGACCCAATTGGTGCTCGACCAGATGACGCCATCCTTGTAAAAAGGTTTCAGATTTGTTGCCAGAAAAAAGGGGAATTATTATTACGGGATGCACGTCACCACGCCACAGATAACCGATTGCTGCAAACGTGCGCACAAGCAGGCCTTACCGCTAACACTGCAATGAAACATGGTGTTTTTCAGGTTCTCTTCAGGACGGTGGCCATGATGGTGCCAGACTACACTCTCATCGCTGAGATCTCCCTCTTCTCCATGGGCTTTGTGAACGCGCGCAGTCTTGCAGCCAAGGTGGTTGCCACCTACCGCCTGTGCTCAGAACAGGTGACATTAAACCAGCCTATTTGGCTCGTGTGTTGCGTATTTTCTTTGTTTATCTGGATGGTAGTTCGGTTGTCCCCATCCGTGCAGTGCTGTAACAGGAAGTTCATCCAAAATCAATGAGGGTTGACTAGTCCCATTAATAACATCAGTAGCTGCGGGCTTGATTTTCCCTGTTTGCAATATTGTTTTTGTGTTGAACAGGGCCCTGTCGTTCAGATGGAGCAGCTACTGTCAATAACATCTGGCAACCCAGCAGCATGTATTAACAAGCCTGACTGCTGATGAGACCCAGAAGGTCAAAACTGGTTATAGGTGTTTATTGCTTAAACAAATGCTGCTGGATAATTTCGGTCCGGAAATCCAATGGGGTGATAGACGAAAACAGTTTTTTTTGTGTTTGTGGAGACACAAAATGGAGGTCTCCATACTGAAATATGTGATAGGCACTTCTGTTCTTTGGTGGGTTTTCCACATTCCATTGGCATCCCACGTTGGGAAATTATTTTAATGACCCCCTGGGAGGAACGAAGGTCTGACTTGACCTCTTGACTGGGGTTTAAATTTCATAACCTTTTGATTGTGAGTCAAGCACTCCGCAACAGCACCAACCCCGGATGCAAGATGTACTCAAATTAATTCCATGACATACAGATGCTGAAAGGCAAATCGGCAACTGCTTTTAATACATGCCTCTCAACCGTTGATGCCCCTCATATGTATAGATATATAAATATATATACACACGGTAGTGTAGAGATTAGCGCGCTGCGCTATGAACCCAGCAACCCGAGTTCGATTCCCAGTGACGATTATCTATACCGGTCCTGGGCCTCCCCTAGCTCGACTCAGCCTCAAATGAGTACCTTGCGTGGTGTGTAAACATCGACTCTAGGGAAAAAAAGTTGGCCGGGCGTGGTGCTTGCCACCCCCCCCCCCTCCCCGTCATGTCCCGTGCCGGCCTTCATAGGTGCTGCTCGCTAACACCACTTGCCCCAACAGTCTGTTAGGGCTACGTGAGGGATCTTTGTCTTTGAATAGACATAACGTTGATTCCCATAACCTGCCTCTCTCACCGCTGGCTCCGCTTCCCTGCGGTAGCTGTCCTCCCAGCACCACTACGATTATGGCATGCGAGCTGTCAAGTCCGTTCTCACGGCGGCCGGGAACCTGAAGCTGAAATTCCCTGAGGAGAGCGAGGAGGTCTTGGTGTTGCGCTCCATCACAGACGTCAATCTGCCCAAGGTGAGCATTCCCGCGGAGGCGGTTTCGCGGGGGGGAAGGTTGTCGCCGCACGCCATTGCGCTCACGAATGTTACCACGTCGGGGGCGGGGGGGGGGGAGAATTTGGTGGCGCGCGTTTCCGCGAGACAGTATAAGCATGCGCGTTTTTCGCATACGCATGGGTATGGCGCGCAGTGAAGTATGGCGACAAGGTTTTATGGTTTAAAGCGCCTGATTCAATTGTGAGGTTTCAATTCGTAGTACAACAGGGATGTTGCTCTATATGCGGAGTTTCCTCTATGCACTTGACAATGTATCGTGTTCCTAAAAACAAAGCGAGAGAAGAACATTCAGAGTCCCCGTGCACGTTCTGTACATGTACCAAACGATATTACAGCTCCTTGTTTGCTTTGTAACACAGCCTTAACGATCGCTTGCCGGGTCTATTTGGAGAACTGAATCAGGACTTGTGTCGTCACAGGCATTGATGTGTAAGACTCGCAGTTACTGATGGATAGCAGAATCGTACAAGACATTATTACGGTATTAATTGTTCACTGTTGACGTCTGACAAAGATGCTAGGATTGTTTTTCGCATCTTAGGATCTTAAACTGGTATAAAGATAAAGGCACTTTAAAATATTTAGGGTTCATTGTTAAGCAACACGTGGGTAACAAGTAGAGGTGGAGTAATACACCAATTAATGTGTTTCATATAATGTACTCGGATCATCTCTCCAGCCACCATTCATAGCAATGTTAAAACAAATATTCATTCTTTAATCAAATCCTTGACCTGAACCGTGACAATCCATCACATCAATGACCAAGGAATAGGCCTTACCCTTTTCCGACAATAACACCGGTGGTAAGATATTCAAACACCAAATAGACGCCTATTGCATCAAGTATACATTAACCGCATCAAGCTTGTGGTAAAACATGCAAACAAACGTGCTGTGATAATGTTTGCATTGTCTTTGAAAGTGATTGGCCTACATCGGAGACAGTCTCCATTATGGCCTTGTCTCACCGGTGTTAGACCAGAGAACGGCAAAAGGCGAACAGCGCAAAGGCAATAATAACTCGGGTTGAGTAGTTATATCTATGGCACATTTTTTCCCCCAAATTTTTATATCGGCAAAAAATGGTAGCGTAGATAATCCATCGAAAGGCTTTGACCGTGAATCGTTTGCACACAGTAGCCAGCTGAGTCCTTCAACAAACCCTCGGCAAACAGCACTGAAATGACAATCCAAGAGAGTCTGCTGCTGAGAAGAACTGGCACTCAAGTGCGTTGATGAACAAGACTGATGCAATGGACCATCTTTGGGTGTCGTGGAAATTAATTTCAGGCTGGGTGGGACTGTGATTTGGCACACAATTGGATGCTTGCGAGTTCAAATTCCTGTCAGGGTTTTATTCTACCCATTATATCTCGGAATACAACCAAATCAGTAGCACGATAGGAAGACAATAGTGGTTTGTTCTGCGTAAAGCCTGCCATAGCAATGTAGAATGTCCACCACTGTTTGAAAGTTGCCAACAACCTTGAAAGTGTAGCCCTTGCCATTGCATGTCCTCGAGCCTGGATACAGTGTCATCTATATATATGTAAAAAAAGGGAAATTTGTGAATACGTGCATCTGTTCGCAATGTTTAGCATACTTCCCAACATGCAACAAGCTTGAAATTTGGCATGTGGGTAGCTTCCAGACTGTACACAATGCAAAAAGTATAAAAATAGACTTTTGTATTTGGGGGGGGCGCAATAATGGATATATTTTGCACGGCAAGTGAGCGGTGACGTCACATCTGTGATGTCACCCGCATGCGGCAGCGTCACTCAGTGTGCCTGCTGACGTCACACATCCCCCACCCTCCGCGTAGGCCGTGTATTAGTCCAAGACAAGAATCCAAGTCCCGGGCGAAACTGGGTAGTAAAGCGAGTAAAATATAAAAAAAGGAAGCTGCCTGTTTGTGGCATTTAAGGGTTAACGTTTGTTCATTAAACAATATTCAACTTAACTCTGCTGACGGGATTCTACTAGAGCCATCAATTAGCGTCCCTGTGCACCCACTTATTTGCATTGTTCTAGTTAGTGCCTTGTGGTCCTCAAACGCAGCCTAAAATGTGCCATTAAAAACTAAAAGTTATTTATAATCACCTGCAAGAGATCTATTTCTCATTTGCACGCGCTGGCTTGGACGCATCAATCATTTCATTGATTTTGTGATACGGTGCAACAATTTAAATGTCACAGTTATGCACACTTATATATGAATGAAGGAACAAAATCTAAGATTTCCTCCAGGATATCCTTTTGTTCAGCTGCAGACCCTGGAGGATGGTGAAATGTGAGTAATAGGAACAGTGACATCAGTTAGGGCACTCCTGTCAGTCTGATTAATAGCGGTGGAAGATGATAAGCTTGGCTACGTGCTAACAGTTCCAATGAAATATCCTAGAGACAAGATTTTGGCACCTTCCCGTGGCCAGAACTGAATCCCAATCCCACCACTGTCAGTGGAGTTACAGGGAGTGAGTGGGGGGGGGGGAGACTTGCTGGAGCCACACAGTGTGAGTTGACCATATTCAGGTAGAGTATTTACATGTACAGTATTCCCTCGTTATTCACGAACTTGCTATCCGCGATTTTGGCTACCCGCAATTCCCATCTGGAGCTTTACACGCGACTGCTGCAATGGAGATGAAGAAAAAGAAAGTGATGAGATCACGTGATCAGATAAAGTGACGAGAGATAAAGTGATGAGATAATTTTCATGTATTTAGTAGCTTATTTATGTATTTATTTAAGGTAATTCATAACAAAACGTTTCACGAGCATCTTTGAAATGTATTCCTCGCGAATAACGAGGGAATATCGTACAATGTAGAAGCAAACCACATGGTAGGTGCTCTGGCAGTGTTGTTAGTGAGCAGCTATTAAGGGGGTGGTGTAACCAACACAACTCTGACTGCCTGTGTCCTCTAGTGCTGATGTCCACACACTGTCCGAAGTACTCATTACAGGCTAAGTCAACCTAGGAGATGCCTAGGCAAAGTTCGTAAAACACTTCCCGCTCATTGAGTGTGTGTGTGGTCATGAATTAACCTTGGAGCATGATGCACTGACAACGGTGCTGTTACTTTACGCTTGTAGGCATACACGTACATGAGGAATATTACTTCTGGGTATTTCTGAAACCGTCTTTCATTGAGCAAGGTTTGCGATGGAATGGCAGCCAAATAAAGGGCTCACGCCGGAGAGGATGACCACCGTTGGAGATGGAGCGATGAGATCAACTTACGTGCAGCGGCACCCTGGATTGAGAAATCGTGATCTCATTCGTGATGGAAGTTGATCCTATGACTAGGCACAGAGTGGAAGAGTGGAGGGTTAAATTACAATCATGATTATCTAGATACTACTATACTACTATCTACAAAGACCAATGCTTTGTTCCAAACTTATAACTAAGTATAGAGAAAATAAAGAAAACCATCATTTTCCATTATTGAAGCGTTGAAATAGTTTCCAACAGGTTTTCTGAGGCGGTTATCTGAAATTATTTTCCGTCGGTCAGATTACCGATACGTGCACACGTACCTAATGACATTGGTACAGTTTCCAGTGAGTGCATTGCTTCCCGTGACCTGACCTCCTTTGCGGAGTAATTCTTAGGTCGGGAGAAACAGAGAGACCTATAAAATTGCCCCAAATTGGCGAAGGTTTGGTGTGTAAATGGAATGTGAATGCCGAGGCTGGGTGTGAGAGCTCAGGGTAATGAGACGAAGGAGGCATTGCGATGAAGCTTAAAGCAAGTTGGGTTATTTTTAGAAGGTCTTTATTTTGCTTGCGATGCTGCGAACATGTCCCTGTTTACTCCTTTATTAATTCGTACGTATTTTATTAAAGTAATACGCCTAACTATACGTTATTACAGATAGCGATTTCATAACAACACTTACACACACTTGCACGTTTGCACACGCAAACCCCTATACAACAAATGTGCACGGACGTGTCTGAATACAACAACAACAAACGACATCCGCCATTCTCCATTGACGACTATCAGCGCCGTCCTTGTGCCGGGCCAGGGGCACTTTGAGGCCACGTGAAGTGTCGAAGGCTCACTGCTGGCAGGAGATCACGCCGCGTTAACTGACTGACGTGAGCGGCAGATGCATCACCTGTGCTCCCCACTGAGCGTGGTGCCCTGCTCCTTGTTGTGAGCACAACTCCTCCTCCCTTTATTAGTGCTGGATGGCGATTGCCTCACACGTGCTTGTTTATCGATGTGGAACCCTGCTGTTAGTACTGACCTCTAAGAGAGTGCATGACCTCTGTGTTTTTATCTCAAGGTATGATCACGACTCCAAAGACAATTATTCATGACCTGGGCATTCTTATTGCCGGCTGCCAGCCATGCTCGCAAGTCACATGGGCACCTGGGGAGGTGAAAGAAAGAGCGTGCCATCGTGCCCTCCCCTTGTCTTCGCAGTTCCTCTCGCACGACATTGCGCTCTTCAACAGCATCATCTCGGACCTCTTCCCTGGGGTGGATCCCCCGACCCCTGACCACGGGGACCTGGAGGTGGCCATCAGGGATGTGATTGCTCAGCAGCGCCTGGAGCCTGCGCCCTGGTTCATCACCAAGATCATACAAGTAATAATAATGATGCATCGTAATTTACAACAATTGGTATAGTCGCTATCGTTCGTATAGTCACTATCGTTCGTATAGTCGCTATCGTTCGTATAGTCGCTATCGTTCGTAGTCGCTATCGTTCGTATAGTCACTATTGTTCGTATAGTCACTATCGTTCGTATAGTCACTATCGTTCGTATAGTCACTATCGTTCGTATAGTTACTATCGTTCGTAGTCGCTATCGTTCGTATAGTCACTATCGTTCGTATAGTCACTATCGTTCGTATAGTCACTATCGTTCGTATAGTCACTATTGTTCGTATAGTCACTATCGTTCGTATAGTCACTATCGTTTGTATAGTCGCTATCGTTCGTATAGTCGCTATTGTTCGTATAGTCGCTATCGTTCGTACAGTCGCTATCGTTCGTATAGTCACTATTGTTCGTATAGTCGCTATCGTTCGTATAGTCACTATCGTTCGTATAGTCACTATTGTTCGTATAGTCACTATCGTTCGTATAGTCACTATCGTTCGTATAGTCGCTATCGTTCGTAGTCGCTATCGTTCGTATAGTCACTATTGTTCGTATAGTCACTATCGTTCGTATAGTCGCTATCGTTCATATAGTCGCTATCGTTCGTATAGTCGCTATCGTTCGTATAGTCGCTATCGTTCGTACAGTCGCTATCGTTCGTACAGTCGCTATCGTTCGTATAGTCATCATCGTTCGCGTCTCCGATGAGCACGGTTGGCTACGTACAGTGCGAAATAAGTTCAAAGTACCTACAAACATGTTATTCTCATAGGCACTATGCGATGCACATATCATGAGCATAACGATTGTTTTTAGCCGACGAGACCATTAGTACATTTGCTATTTGCGCCAGTCGTGTAGCGCAACGCAGGGCTGCCACGCAGGCACTATGTTGCGCAGACAAAGGTCTGCAGTAGCGTCCGCGTATGTTGGGGGCGGGGAAATCGGTGTTGCTACTTGAAATTCAAATTGAGTGATTTGCAGGAAATCTTAAAAAATGTACACCGGCGCACTGATAGTCAGATGACTACGTGTCATATTTCACGTGACAGAGGCGGCACGCTTTTTTTTTACAGTTAACCCGTTCCTGTTCCGATGACGTGCGTGTTCAGTGTACCCGTGCGTCATCGGTTTTTCTCCCGAATGTGTTCCAATTTTTGCCAACGTGTACGTCATTGGAATCGAATCGAATCTGAATGAATTCGGAAGTAATAGGCCATGGGGCAGGGCATGTGGCACAGTTTGGCACCAGTTATAATAGAGTGCGTGTCACTACAGTTCTCCGCGGTGAGTACAGTACAATTTATTTAAAAACAGCGGCGCTGCGCCTCTCAAAATAAAATTAAGGCTCTCCGCTTTCGCTTTCCAAGATTCAGCGGTGAACGGGACTCACCCTGCAACTTTGCAGACATCTCGGAACGGGAAAGGGTTCATTACTCCCGCAGGAATAACCAGCGCTGCCTTGCAGACTCGAACCGCTCACCCCTACAACAAGCGGTACAAATGCGCTGATGCTGGGCCATGTCACTGCCCCAAATGTCACCACCGCCATGTCACCAGGTTCTGTGCAAGGAGCACGCTGTGCTTCCTTAGCAGGATGCCGTGGTTGTGTCGAAGGAAGCATCATCAGTTTAGAATTCAAGGATGTGAAATTAAAGTGACTGTCTCTTGAGAAGCTTGGACTCTGCCTTGGGAATGTGGAATGTCCACCACTGGCTACACACCGGATATGATCTTTCATAAACATTTTATTAAACAAATTAAACACATTTCAGCAATTCCCAATCGATCAATGGATAAAGGTCTCCTCCCCACAATGTGTCTGTCGGTCTTGGAGCCGCTTTTAACCCATGCCTAGCCATACTGGTCAGTGCGTATTGGTCAATCCAAATCGTACAATGTGCAAAACGAAATACGCAGCCGTCTGCGTTGTTAACATCACGCTAGAGTAGAAATAAAACACGTTTTCTGGCCGGACTCCTGTCTGGACTCCTGCCTGGATTCTTGTCTGCCTGCTTTGGCGAGCGGCCAAGTGCGCCGTACGCAGTGGTGACGTCACCGCGCACATGCGTGCGATGACGCCAGCCGCATCGCACATGCGTGAGCCTGATTCCTGCATGCTCGCGTCACGCCCCTCCCCCTTCCCCCGCCCCCCCCACCGCAACCTCCACCCTGGCGTGGATCCCACGTGAATGCGAAAGAGGAGATAGGGGAGGGAGTTTGGGGGAGGGAGAAAGAGGAGGGAAGACGAGGTGGAGAGGGACAGAATCAGAATAACAGAGTCAGAATACGTATTCGTGCTGGAGGAATCCGATGAGCTATAAAGCTCTTGGTGAAGAGGGACAGAAACAGAATCAGAATATGTATTCATGCTGGAGGAATCCAATGAGCTTTAAAGCTTTTTTTTTACAGATGTCCATTAGATTTCACATGTCCAGAGAAGAGAGAGTGAAATGGAGAGAGTGAAAGGGCCATGAAACAGAGAGGAAAGAGAGAGAGAGAGCAAAACGCAAAGAGGAAAGTGAGGGAACGTGACAAGCAGTGGGAGAGAGGATTAGGGAGAGGGACGAGAGATTGAGAGGTGTGAATAAAGAGAGTGAGGGTGAAAGGTGAGAGAGAGGAACTAGAGGTAAAGATGTGGGAGGGAATTGAGTGACATACCGTGGACGGAGGGGGGAGAGAAATTTAGAGCCGGGGAGGGAGAGGTAGCAGAGGGGACAATAATAGAGAAACAGAAACAGAGGCAAAGCGAGACAGAGCGCCTCCGATTAGCACGGTTGGCTACGTAGACTGCGGAAGAAGTTTACCATACATTGCGATTTACAGAACATCGCAGGCAAGAAGAAAGTGCAGAAAGACAGGGCTCGATATAAGATTAAAACGTTTTGTTGGCTGGGAAGGACGGACGGACAGTCACGTCCAAACGACGTGTGGGTTGCTAGTTGTGTCGTATTTTTTATAATTAGCATATTATTCACCTTGCCAAATTGTCATAATTAATATCGCCTAACCCCGCTTCAGAGTCTGAGTGTCTCTATGCGCCAATAGCACAGGACGGTGCTCATCTCTGTTCGTGGCCCTGAGTCGATGCTGAAAAGTCCACATTTACGTGACAGAGACAAATGTATGCATGGGATAACTACTGTTAACTTCCCACAAATTGCTCCTCATCTTTTGATGTATATATAAAATCCAGGAGGAGGGTATGTGCCGAGCCGATCCCCGACCAGGATTTGAACTTGTGACGTTCCCGATTCAGTGGAACCCTTCCCACCACAACCCCACTTGCTTGCACAGCACTGCTACTTCATAACGCGCCTTGAAAAACTATCCCTCGATTTTCATCGTGAGCACTACTTTGGTTGGCATCGCGATGCGCATGCGGACTTGATGAAGTGAACGTAGCAGACTGCGTGAAGGAAAGGGCCGGGCTTCGGATTTTATTTGCAGGGAAGGTGAGAGAGAGAGAGAGCCCTTGGAGGTGGATGAACCGAGCTGTGAATCTTTACACGAAATGTCGACTCGTGGTGCGGTGTGGCAGGGGTTCATTGCAGAGGAGTTGGTGTCTTGAGTCTTTTCAGTTAGACTGAAATAACACGCAACAACTACCACAAGTTTGTGGTCTTAAAGACAACCATTATACTCTGGGTAAGATTGATGTTAGAAATAATGATAATTATTCTTCTACAATATTCAACAAAGGCATTACATTTATAAACAGATATTGTATATTGTACACACGTTTAAATACATAAAGAGCACTCGCTGTGTTGATTACCATGCTCCACTTTTCATATTTTTTGTAGTCACAAAGAATTGACGTTCCATAACACGACTGTAGCACATTGTGCTATGTGCATCTCGACACCAGGGGTAATCATTGCCCCCTTCCTAGCGCACCTACGTTCTGTGGAGATGCACATCAGATTAGGGCATTTACCAGAAGTACTGGAGCTTATCTTACCTTAACTACTAAAAGTGTCTCTTTTAACTGGGTAGACGAACAGATTATGTGTTATCTACGTAATTTTTGTGATAAAAGCAATCTATGAAAGCTGGGAAGGAACAAATGCAGTGCAAAGTGCTATTAATACGCTATGTTTGATCATTGCTGACTAGGCTCAGGCCATAAAGTCACTGCACTTGAGAACCCAGTTTAATCGAGTGTGGGATCTTGCATTTGGAGCTGCGTTCTCTGTGGTGCTGAATCAGTGCTCTAGGATGTGTGTTCGCTTTTTCCCGTCAGGAAGCCACCTCATTTCGTTATCTTATTAGGCAGGAAAGGTACTGCGATCTCACAATTGCCCATGCCGTGACATATTAAATGCTTGCAATGCAATTTACCCTGTCTCTACCCCAGGCCCCCTGTCCACATTCAGACAGATTGTTATTGCCATTATGCTAAAGATAACGTTTTTAAAATGTCACCGCTGATAAAAAAAAAATCCTCTGGCACAGGAACTTATTGCTAATGCTAGTTTCTATTCGAATGGCATTGTAAAGGTAAGAAGGAATCAGAGCTTATATCAGTTCATTAACACATTCTGTGTTTTGTTAAAATTCTCCAAATATATCAACAGACATATACTTTATATCCCCACGCATATACAAGATATGGGCGACGTAGTGGTTAGCGTGCTGCATGTATTTATTTTGAGCACAGCTCCAAACGTGCTAATCGTAGGTGTTGCACTATGAACCTGGCAACCCGAGTTTGATTCCTGGGCACGGCTATACAGTACCGGGCTTGCCCTTCCTCCACACCCCCGTTCACCAACTCGCACTGATCAGCATGATGAAGTATGGTGAATACAAAAAAAACGTGAACAACGTGGCGTGGGAATTGAGACCTTCATCTGATGACCGGGATTGGCTATTCATGTTTTAACTTAATTTCGTACATTACAGAAACAGATGTTGTGTATTATGTCAATAACCACAGTAGTTGAGTGAAGATGCCTACAAAAATGGAGATAAAAAT